AATATAAGAATGTCTTTATTTCCATCGTCTCGTCATGGAACAAAAAGAATCTTTTTTTATTGTTTGTAAAACATATGCTACTTTGATCATCTCTCGTTTATTCTCTTACTATTTGATCAATCTGTATCCTTCTCTATTCTGTTCTGTCACTTTGTTAGTTCACTTTGATCTGTCTCTAGAGAGTTTTTTATATCTTAGATCCAATTTATTATTTATATCAATAGTATGAAGATTGAATGATTGTCTTTTATTTTTCTCGAATTTGATCTGATGAACTAGGGATCACAAACACTGAAGTTTGAAAAGATATCGAAGAAAGATTTAAGTAATAGAGCAATTAATGTGAAAATACTTTTTCCTATTAAATATGAAATGTATTTCAATGAGAATATTCCCAAGAAATCAATTGAATAATAAAGAATAAACAAATGAGAAGAAGAAATCGATGTTTGCACTTATGAATAATTTCAATTGAAAAAGATCGATCATCAACATTTTTATATCTCTTGAAGATATTTGTTAAAACAATATCATTTCATTTTTTTTTCTTCACATTTTATTAATTTTTTATTATACTTTTCAAAATCCTTTCAAACTATAGGAGTCATTTACAGGAGACATTTAAGAAAAAGTTCTACTTTTCAATTTTTTTCCGTTCTCTGTTCTCTTTCCACTGATACTTCGGTTTTACACTCGAAAGTCTAGTGCGCAAAATTTTTTTACGAAAGAGTCCATTTGCTCAAGAATATTATTTCTATCCATCAGGTATCTTCTATATCCGCCGTAATTCATTCATGTCTGATTTGTGATCAAATTGTGAAAGATTGCTCACTTTTGAAAATAACGTTTAAAAATCAATTTCACAAAAAATGCTCAGATAATTAACACATAAATCGTCTTAAGCGTCTGAACATCTATATGTGTCCGATATCATCCTTTTCCCTATTCAGAAAAGTCTGTTTTTTCGCTAATGCTCTCTGAAACATCCTTTATAGATGGTTCCATAGTGAGTACACTTCTTTTTCTAACTGATGAACAGATCGTCGCTCTTCTGTCCTCCGCAATTTCTTCGATTCAGATTTTCATCAGTTAGTTTTTTGCTGAAAAGAATTGTCATCTTGATTAATATCCATATAAATGCTACAGAATTTAAGTTCAACGATTCTTTGAGATGAAAATCTGAGAAAATATTTTGATAGAAAATCATTTGATTGAAGATACGGGTTTGTGACAAAAATCTTAATTGAATTCTCATTTTCTGAAAAATCAAAATTATCAATTTGATTTTCAATATTATGAAAAAATTTTTTCAGTTCAACTAAGATGAGATATTACTCAAGTGAAAATGAAAAAGGATTTCTTTTTTCTTTTTTTCATTAATATTCAGATCATTTTTTTTTTCGAAATAAACTTCTTCGTTTTTCAAGCAATTCGAAATCAATGAAAAGACAAAAGGTTTTTCTTCTAATTGAAACACATCTGATCTTATCTTGCAGATCAATGTATGATGAACTTTTTCTTTTCATATCAATGAAGAAAATCTTCTTTGAAAAGCAAATTATTCAATTGATGAAAAGTTTATTTGATTTGGAAAAAAATCTTTAGTCAGAAACAGAAAAAATTCTTTGGATTTTCTGTTATCATTATTTATTTCTCTATGAAAAAAGAAATTCTCATAAATCTTTCTGAAGAGAAAATAAGAAAAGGACATATTTGAAATGTAAAACAGGAAAAGATTTGAATTGATAAAGATCAAAGAATATTTTCATCAAATGTTCAAAGCCTATACGGTAATAGCACAAATCAACCAGTGAGTGTTTCTATTTTCCGTTGGGAAAAATATGTTATCGCTTTAAGACTTACAAGAATATCTCGGATGGAAATCCGGTTACAGATTTTAATTCTCTATGTTCTTCAGCATCATGATTTAGAAATGCACCACTTGAATATCTTTCTTTCGTAGGAAGCAAATGAAATTAGTGGATAGTAAAGTAAAACTTTATTCGATAGCAATATAAGCAAACTGTAAAAATGTTTTTAAGTTACGAAAAATACTTTAAAATCCTGTCCATGAATTTTTCTCCGCTTTTTTCAATAAGTCACAGTTGATTAAAGCTGCATTTTTTTTGGCACGATCAATTGCCGATTGTAAAATTTTTCTATCACTTTTGCTCATTTTTTTTCTGCAACTGTTTCAACATGTAATTGATATTTGCATGGGAGTACGATGGCATCGGCTTACCAGTTCGACACTTTTGCATTTCGTCCATAAATGGCATTTGTATGATTGAGTAGACAACTTGTCGATCTTCTTCGTTACTGAGACGATCGAGAAATTGTTGGAAATCGTCTTGTGCTGTATCATTGTCGTTCTCTTCTCGCACGATAAAACCAGTCGTAAGTAAAATGTAAGAGGTAGTACACAGGACGATAAAAAGAAACAGTAAAAATCGCATTTTATGTGTAGACTGATGTATAAGTATGAGATAATATTTCAATCTTTTTATATAGCAATAAAGTGATATGCGATAATTGGCAATTAGGTTTGAGTATTTAGTTTGCTCTCAACTTATTTGTGCAAAGAAGAATCAAGGGTAAACATATTGATTCATTCATTCATAAAAATTTGAAGAAGTATCGTAAAAAAAAATAATAATTAAAGATTGCTGCGAGAAACGCAGAAAGTGA